AGTGTAGCTAAAGCATAAATCTAATTACGACCGTGGTCTTCATTTACATAGTTGGCCATTAGCATTTTATAAATTGCTGAGATCTGTGAATGCAGCAACATCACTTCAAAGTCAGATGGGTCAAGAAACACAAGCATCACACCATCATGCAGGTTGTAAACAAACCTCCAGGTCATTTATTTAGAAAAAAAGCAAAGGTGAACAGTGAGAATTTTCATCACATTTTACAGATCCACTTCCTGTTTCAACTCATTAGTTTTCCCGTGTAATGAAGGGTCACCAGTTTTACCTCCACATGAAGTGGTTTGGACAAACTGTTTGCATGATAACAGCATCGGTATTGTACGATTGGATCCAAACATCATGAGGTGTGGAATGATCAGATGTGTAGTAATCAGATACAGGGCTGTGACAAATAATAATAATATACTGATTGACTGCTTGTGTATGTTGCCCCATTAAGCTTTGTAGTAGTGAAGTCCCCGTGTTCCCATTTCTCAGCAACTGGTGACATCACTGCTGTTGCTAATAGGAATGATGTCCAAAACCCCCCCACTAAAACAAGGCCCAAGTTGTAACAAGCTCGAATTAGATGATACACATGCGATGCTGCCCTTTTCTCATACAGACAAAAATATCATTACCCTACTATTATTATTTAAATCAAAACTCAAACATCTGTCATGCAATTAGGGTTATGATGATTTAAATGTATTAACCTCCACTCTTAACATATATATATACATATAAATGTTGTTGTTATGTTGTCCTCATCTGTCTTTTCAGTATCTGTGTATTTATGCATGTCTGGTTGTCCATCTGTGTCATGACTGTCTTTGTGTTCTACCCTCCCCACTTTATGTCTGTGTCCTTTGTCTCTTTTTGGGATTTATTTTCCTCATTGGTCCAAAAGGTCTCTTGAAAGGTACTGTATGAAAGGAGAAGAGTCCTCTTAATCCTGCTCTAAGAAAACCTCTTCTACTATTGCTTGTTTGCGGTGCATTTTAATTGATTACTGTCTGTTGGAGTCATTCCACTTTGTTAACATCCTAATGAGTTTTATCCAACAAATAACAGCATTTCTAAGCATAGTTAATCCAATATTGCATATCCCCAATACAAATCTATGAAGTTAAACAGAAGTAAAAAACAAAACAAAAAACACAGCGAGTTGACTTCCTGACTCTATAGTCATGTTAATCTGATGCTGCAGATTGGCAAATTCTTTTTTTGCAAGAAAGGTTATCTGAAACTCACTTCCATCCTCTAAGTAACTTCCCCAACCTTTTGCTCTTCTAGTAAAAAACTTATCACCTAATCAGATAATTGAATCATTCCCGACTCTGCCCTCTTTCCTTCTGAAGACATCTTGAAGTCACAGAAATAAAAGGCTCTCTCCCCGGCTCACTGAAGCTGCTGGTGCGTACGGTCAACAGATGAAAGCAAGCTTTAGCAAATGTGACCAGGGCAGACGGTTTGAGAAAGGCTCTGCCTCTTGGCCACATTTATTTAATGAGCTGTAAGAGATGAAATCTCTAAGTGCTTCAGTGGCACTGGTGCATAGAGAGATGTCCGTCTGATCTGCTGCTGGCACATTCCAAGCATATCCAAGCATATTCCAAGCTGATGAATGCAAAATGCATTCATCAGCTATGACGTCATCTGCACCTGAATCCACAACTTACTTAATTCTTTCGAAATAAATACACACGTGCTGCAGTCTGTAAGTATTTGGAAAGTGACACATCTTTTCTTTGTTGGCTCTGTATGCAGCTTTGTCATTTTTGTGACCTGACTTGTTAACATAGGCTGCTGAGAAAACGGAGATATTCTTGACTCAATGAATGTTGGCATTGTACCTTTCTACAAACCACGGGATACACACAATCAGGATGTTTCTAAAGCATAAATAACTTTCATAGATATGTTTAATTGTACAATGCCACGTGGTTAACTCTGTGAAACAATTTGTTCGCTTTAGAAAAAATATCATGCTTTGTGTTAAAGTAATAACGTAACAATGTAACTAGTGTGAATAATCAACTACTTTATTACATAACGTTACGTAACAAGCGTAAAGTCAAAGTTTACTTTTGGTTTGACACGAGACACTAACATCAGTCTCCTGGGTGAAAGTCCTGTGATTGTTTGATCCATCAACTACCCGTCCCACCAGCCCTTAATTGTTATACTTATAACTTTTACACAGTGTAACTTTCACTCCATATATACATTGTCACTTGCTTTGACGAATGCAAAAACATCCGTATTCAACGTAGCCAGTGTTTTCAGAAAGGTACAGTGCCGACATCTTCTCCTGGCGACTGGTCTGCTTGACTAGTTAATATTCTAATCGATTAAAACATGACGACCATGCTCTCGCATTTAACCACTTTATGCTCAACTCCCACTCTCTTCTCCTTGTTACATGTCAGCATGTGTTCTGAAAGCGTCCATCGTTTCATTATCTCTGCTTCTCTAACTGTCTCTCGCTCTACTCTGTACGATTCTTTTTGTGGATTGATATAATGAAGACTGGATTTTGGGTTTCGATCACAGTCACATTTGCTGGATTTGCGCTGCATCTGCGTGTATTCTTAATTATTAACATGTCTGGTTTCTAACATGTATCAAGTCTGTGGTTCCCAAAGTGTTTCAGCATGGAGCATGATGATTCTGAGAAGCTATGGTGTAGATTTTGTCCTCGCCGAGTAAATCGGAATACATAATGTTTGATAACCTTGAAATGCGATACACAGACCTGAGCAGAGAAAAGATATCAAACACCTTTGCATCCTTCAAGTGCACCTCCTGCTGTTATGCTGCTGGCTTTATCTGAGATAAGAAAGCTAATGCTATTCTGTAGCTCTTTCTTGCTGTGCATGACGTTCTCTTCCCCCTAAAATCAGAGTAGGGAGACATGCAGCCATGCTCTGAACTAAGATCAAGCACAGCTCCACAAATGAGGTGCACTAAAGTTCTCATGCTTAGATCTCAGGTCAGAATATGGCCACCATTTAGCATGTGTATGCAAATGTCTCATATGAATTTTTGACGACAGTATTTATCTCTTTTAATCACCCCTGTCTCCTACCAAATACTCTATACCTACTTAAGTCTATGTTCGTAATAATTCCACTGGGAGTATTTTTGTCCCAGTCCAGGAAGTGTGATGTTCTTATACTGTACCAGAAAGCAAGGTAATCGCAGATAATTCAAGCGTATCCTGTGCATCCCATGTGTTGTTAGCTGTAGGGATTAGAGATGTTGTTGACAGTGATTGTTTCAGATTCATTCAGTGGTAACATTTTGTATTGGCAGTGAATAGTTTGCAGATAGATTCAATCTTAATCCAGGTCATTTTTTTCCGATAAAACCTATTAGTTTTAAACAAATTAGTTTTATCAGAACGTAAATTTTAGGAGACAGGGTTGCTTTTGAGACAGGGTTGCTTTTAAAACATAGATGTGAATACTGTATAGTGTTCTACAAAATCAACTTATAACTGTAGCTCAACAAGCATCTTTGGTATAAAATGCTAATGCAGCTGTCTTTTTAAAGGTTAGGTTCGGATTCTATCTTGATACAGTACTCATATGCCATACACATCTTATTCACCGTGCTGTTAACCTGAAGCACGAAGTACACATGAATCTGGGGAACTACCGGAAGTAAACAAGTCGCCAGGACTGACGTGGCGTCCCTCCACAATACGCATGCTTTAGAGGGCAAGCTGTCCTAAGAAGTGTACAATGCTAGTTTTTTGCTAGTTTAGCTAGCTAATATAACAAAATGTAATTTTAACTAGGGAAACCTAATGACCACAAAGTAAACATCGTTTAGTTGGCATCGCCTTCAAAGTGTCTTCTAACAGTATTAACTGGTGGCTGGCAGTCAAATACGTCCATGTTGCTAGATTTGTTCATAGGTGTCCGTAACAGTGTTGACAGAAAGTAGCCCAATCAGGGCGTCACAGCGTAGAACCAGCCCACTCTTCAGGAATGGAATCAGTCATTGCAAGTCGAGTTGAGCCTATTAAACTCAGTGTCCTGTCAATCTCAATCCCACGATTTAGATTTATGGGAATATATCCTAACTTTATATTGGTGGATACAGCCCAAAAGGTACAGAAAGCAGCTCAAATTACTGTAACCCACACACTTAAATAAAAAGTAACCGATTAGAAGCCAATCTGACTACTCTGTTCTGCATACCCTCCACACATACAGATCGTGTAGTCACACAGTCATCTGTAAAGTGTCGACGTGGACTCTTTGTGGACATCCACGATATGGACAGATGGCTATTATGTCACACGGACCTTTGCAGTTATGTGCACATGGAAACTGTCATTTGAGCTTTAGCCAAATTGAGTGGGTATCTTCTTTTTATTATGATAATATTATCTGTACAGTGCATTTCCACGGACAATGTTTCCTTGATGTGGAGGGATACATCCTGTTGCTTGGACAAAACACTAGTAATGATCCTGTACACAACTACCAGGAAGAGAATATCCACTTGAGTTGGCTGAAGCCTCACATGAGCTTTGGCTGAACTTAAGAATGCACATTCATAGAACATAACTGTGGATTTAGTCCCCTTCACCCACAGTCCAGTCGCTCTACGGAGGAATAGCTTCCTGGGGAGTATAGTATAGGAGCAATAAATAGAGAGAACTCTTTCAAATGACATATAGCATGTGAGTACTGTATTCATATTATTCAAACCAATCCTGGAAAAATGGAAAATAAATGACTCATAAAAGTCTAAATTCTAGTCTAATAAAACCTGAGTGACCTCAACATTCAGTCACTCAGGTTGACTGAGTAGCTGAAAATAATTATGATTAACATCATTTCTTTACCTGCAATCCACATAACCTTTCACTTCCCCCTTTTAACCCGTGCCGATGGGGACAACAGGGTCCTAAACTCCTGCCGACACTGAAACCTACTGCCGTTTTAACCTTCAACTCTGCTCTCCATCCACCTTTGCAGCAGCGACGAGGACAACAAGCCTCTCCAGGGCAGCCAGACGTCGCTGGACGGCAACGTGAAGGAAAGCGACGACAGTCTGGTTGACTACGGCGAAGGTGGCGACGGCCAGTTCAACGAGGACGGCTCTTTCATCGGCCAGTACACGGTGAAGAAGGACAAGGACGAGACGGAGGGCAACGAGAGCTCTGAGGCCACCTCGCCCGTCAATGCCATCTACTCGCTGGCCTAGCGCCGTTGCGCCGGTGGCTCCCCTCTGGCCTGAGGGCATTACGACAAACCACAGCACCATACACCAGACACAAACACACACACATGAATATATTACTATATGAAACAGAAGGAACGCAGCAGGGCCTGTCTGGAGACTGCGTAGGTTTCCCTCTGCAGATGAAGTCACGGGAACACGGGGGTGGAATTAGACCACAAGCCTTTATTTTAGTTTCCAGCTCACAGAAATTGGCCCATTGGAGGTGGCGTTTGGGCAAAGAGGACAGTGCTCGTCTTCCTCGGCTCTCTGCCTGCCCTTACACAGACTTGAAGTGTGCCTTCGGGGCAGCTTTCAGCACTTGGAGGAGTTCTCTATAGATTTTTCTTTGGTTCGTTTCTGCTCCGAACATTTCCAGTGTCCCCGCTCTCCCTCCCGACGCGCCCCTCATACCTCTGTAGCGTCCCGGTAAAGTACATAGAAGAGGTCCCGTACACACACACACACACACACTGGCCCGTCCTGTAACATATCAGCTTCTAACCATCAAACTCAACAGGATGCCGGCAGATATGTTTATCATATTGATATTTACGCAATGAAAGATTTTAGTTTTTCCACAGCTAGCAGATGAGTCATTGAATCTTAAAGAGTGCTGTATTCAGTCCTGGCACACATTTTAATGCCCTGCAAAACTATGCACTATCACCTCTCCTCCATAGCATTCTGGGTTTAACCTGGTTAGTAAAAGTACATGTTTCGGGTTTCTTTTTTACCACTTGCAGGCTAAATCACATGCTTTTATTCACTCTGCCTTGTACAATGTGGTGGACATGTTTTTCTTACCTCTACTCCAATCTTGTAGTGCAGATGTTCAAAATGGCCGCCACAAGAAAGGCTGTTTCTGCCACAAGCACCAAGCTCTGCTACAGTATGTTATTAATGACTAATATTATTTTGGAGCATGGTAGTAACTTAGTGCAAGACAAATGGAAAGCAACAGAGAGGAACGTTAGCTTCGCTTGAGAAATACCAGTAGACCACAACCCAGTGAATTGCCTAGTTAGCATGCAGGCTAATGCTGCATTCATGTCAAATCAGAACAGCTGTTGGTTGACAGCGAACATGTTGACAGATGTTTCTGTTTTTCTTTTGACTTTGGTTTCTTAATTGTTACACGTGGTACTTTTGAAAGTACGTTTTATACCAAACCAGACATTGCTATGTCAATCCAACATGGTGATCACATAATGGCTTATCATGACAGGAAAAAGGGGTTTTATAATGGATATATATTCCTCTAAAACTTACCTGCATGTATTTTTTTCAATTGTGACACCAGAATTTTGGAGGTTTGGGGTCCCAACCCCAAACTTCCCAAAAAATGTTGAGCTCCTGAAAGTTGAGATGTGTAATCATTTCAAGTTGGAAATGTCCACGTTCTCTCCCATGGGACATGAATGCAGCATGAGATGCTAGGATCCTTAGGGTGTGTATCAATGCCTTTCATTTTGCCCACAAAACGTTTTGTCTTTTTTTCATTGTTGTCAACCACCAAATGAGTGCTAACATTAGCTTAACACAAACCACGAACTTTACGCTTCTTATTAGTTGATAGTAACGTTTTTAATTCATGAAAACTACTTCCCTGAAATGTCAAAGAATGCACTAATCTTCCTTCACATTTGTAAAAAATAAAATTCACGGGCACTTCTGTTAAAACGAGAGGCAAAAGTGAGTGCTCAGCAAAAGCAGTGGGCAAAAAGCTTCACTCTCATTGAAAAAAGTTAGAAAAAGCTGCTAAAATGTGCTCTGTCTAACCGGGACCTAAACAATCAATATAGAGACGTTAGCTGTCCGCTAGCGAACTAGCATACAGTTCTGTCAGTCACTCCCCTCCAGACTGCTCTCTACTCTTGTTTTCGTATTTTCATGAATTGGAGCCATAAAGCCTCGGAATAGCCACAAGGTTTTGCTCGAGCGTCAGCATGGACACATCTTTGGCTCAACTCATCTTTAATTCATTTGTGCATTAAGTTTATGTGCAATCACAGCATTTTCTTGGTGTTTAGTCTGAAACCACCTTTACAGAAGGATCTACACCTCTGTCCCTCCCTCTAGTTTTTATAAATGCAGTTAGTGAGTAGATCATTACAGATGAAAAAAGACAGCGTTAGGGCCGCATAGAACACTTGAATTAAATGACCAGATTTACAGCATGAAAATATATACATCAAATTCACGGCCACCTTTGAAATGAAACGTATCAACTAGTTTTTTTGCAGAAGAAGAAAGAAAAAAGAAAACTGTTTGAGTAACAGAACTTTTTAGAAACTAATGTAAGCTCAGTATTCCACTTGTCCCACAACCATATTCGTCACGTCATTGTTCTGTAAGCCGACTGATGGACTGACCGTGTTTCTTTATTTTGTACTAGATGTTCACATGCTGTTCACAGCATCATTTTGGTACTCGTGCTGTAGTTACCTGCTACTCAACAGCACTATTGAAACCTCCACTGCTAAATTCGAAAAATCTTTACTGCAGTTAGCGACTGAAGTTCACATTGTATTTCAAATATTTATTTTATATTTCTATTTATTACATTATGTGAATAGTATTAATATTAGTACTTAATTTAATAATTGTTGTATACACACTTTTGACCAACTCATTTTGTTGATTCACGCCAGAATTAAAGATGTCTCCAGAATCTGTCATTGTTCATCACGAGAGGCATTAAACACAATATTTTCCAGATATTTGTGATATTTGTAGCAGCTGGCTTTTCTGCTGTAAACAAAACAACAACATACTTGTCATGTTTATCTGTCCATTGTGCTGCTCTTCTCGTACTCATGTCGTATTACAGTTACTCTGTGTTGTTATTCAGATTCATGTAACATAACCTTTCCGCCTCACAGAAAATTAATATTGTTGCTTATTATTCATTTGACATATATTCTGTACATGTAGGTCCTGAAAAAAACCTCTTATATTTGTAAATATTTCAAAGTCGATTCCCCCAGAAAAATGCTTTATCAGAGGAGACAAAAAGTCACAATTCTGTATCCACCAAGCAACATGTGACGGGTGCAACTTTAGTCTGTCGTGCACCTTTGTAATGTAGCTTTGTCTAACATTTGCACTCTGAAAAAATAACGAGAATCATCCTTCACTCTATGTTTGCCAAAGCCCTTTGCTTTGGCATTGTGATACGTGGTCACTTGTTTGATGATAGTTTGGATTCTATATTGTGAAAGAGGAACAAGTTAGATGCTCTATGATGTAAATAAGACGTAAGTGCGCCTGCAATATTCTGTTTGTAGCATTGTTGCACACAGACTGCTAGTAGGCCTAAAAGAACATGCATTCACAGAGGTATTGGAACAAACTCCTCTCCTTTTACCTGCATAGACTCCTTCACCTAACATGCCTATTGTTGCATAGCTAGTCTCATTTCATGGGCCTCCTTAAGGGACCAATTCATACTTTCGGGGCATGCAGCTCAAAATTTGTAACTGTACGGCGACGGTGCATGATCGAGTTTCGTTCCAGACTCCGGTCCATTTGGTGGCGTATGCTCATCTAGCTGGTTTGCCAAGAAGAAGAAGATAACAAAGAGGATGCTTTAGAAGAGAGGTTGTGCAAAGAGATTGAATAATTTGTCTATAAAGGAACACAAAGACAGTCAAATGGCGTTACAGCTACCAAATGGAATGGAGTGTGGACCGGGAAATGCGCATGCTTGGAACGCCAGACCGATGCAGGCCCTCAATTGTAGTGGAACCGTGTGCGGGTCGAGTCTGCTCCTCCTCTACAAATGAGACTGTCGAGTACAGAACAGTTGCAAGACATTATGATATGTTATCAGAAAAAGGGTAGAAGTGTTAAATACTGTGATAAATTCGGGTAAGTTCACTAGTTGACACCTGACAGTGAAGCAGGTTAAAAGGGCAAATAACTTAGTATAAATCTGTAATGCCAACAGTCTGCAAACCAGAACAAACAGTGGATTTTACTCCCAACAGTCACTATTCACATCCTGCTTTACATTAGTCAGCTTTATCTGACATAATTACAAGTTGAAAAGGATTGCCTAAATGTACAATTAAACATGTGACTGGCCCACAATGGATTGACCAAATTTGAGAAAAGGAAGGCTTTAATTCCTTGCTCATTTGGAGGAGTCTTCTAATTAGGACAGACCTCGCTGATCTGTTATAATATTTTCAATTTGCAGACTTCGAAGGAGGAGGCCCCTAAAATCAAACACAACATATAAACAATTTTGAAAAGAGTCCTGACCTGGTATTTCTCACCCCTTTTTAAAACAAAAACACGACCTCTCCGTCAGTAATCCCCTCTTCCAAAAACTCATGTTCCCTTCTGTGTCGTTGCAGAAACTCAAAGCAATATCCTCTGAGTTTTAATCAGCTGGGTGTTTTCTCAGATGCCATCGTATGTTGGTGTGACCACAGCGGGTTGTTAGTTTGAGGCACCGAGCACAGACATTTTGACAAAACAGAAAGAAAAAGCACTGAGGGATCAAACATGGAACATATAGGTCCGAACTCTCTCACCGGACTTGTTTTCTTCCAGATCTGGAAACCTGCACCCCCTTTTCCGACATGGCCTGCCCCCCTCAAGTGGATCACAGTGGTGAAATATTGTAAACTGGCTATATAACAAAGAAAAGAGAATTATGCATATTTGCTCATGAACAGTGCTTTTTTTCTTGTCCTTTTATTCATGCAAGCCGACTCTCTTTCTACTGTTACTGACCTTTAATGGGGGAAAAGAAGATGTCAATGTGCAGCTTTGTGTTTTTCTTCATTTCAAAATGCTGCAATGTGTAGAATTTTACTGATGCACACACGAGATTTGCAAATGGATTTCTTTTTAACGATTGATCACAGGCTTTTTTTATATGAATTATCATGTTAGCGTCTTCTTGTTTTTACCATATGTATCAGAGCAGCTCGTCAAAGTCTCGCTTCAACACGCAAAATAACAGCTTTTGTAAGGTACATACTCAACAGAAAATGGCATAAATATATTCACCATGTATGCGTGTATGATGAGATGTTGCAACTTCTGCTAGCGACGCCTTCTTTATAGTAAAGCTATCTCCTTTTCTCTACCTCCCGACTGCTGGTCTCTCTGTTCATATCGGAGCTTTTGTCATATTGTCGAAACATTTTGCTGTAGCTTTAAAGAACCTAAACAAGAAAAGAAAAAAAACACAAAGAACAGATTTTGGTTTGTCTGACCTTTTGCATTGTGGAAAAGCTGTAGAAATACTAGGCCCCTCAGGTAATGTCATGCAGTCTTTAGCAGCTATTGAAGTCATCATTTGACAATTGTGATTCTCAGACCTGAATAAGTTATGTGTTGATTGTTTCATCACAGATACACCTGACTGTCTTCAGATGCCAGATTGAGCTCATTATCAGCCAGCCATCACTGTCTTGCCGTCTAGCAACCACTGCCATTTCCAAATGCTGACGCCATTGCTAAATTGCCTTGAAGTAGTATTATTCATCCACCATGGTAGGGGCAGGGGGCAGGCGGGGTAAAACCCTTGACAGGTCCATTGCGATGTCCGACCTACTGTGTGGGCTATTTAGACTTTCCAGTGTTCAGAAGAAACTAGAGCACCTGAAAGAAACTCTGACAAAACAAGAAGAACACATGTTCTCTAGTGAGGCCCCAGGGTTTAGCAGCTCCTTTCACAGTGCTTTTCACCTTCACCGGTTTACTGCCCATCTCTCGGTTAAGCAGGGGCCTATCGAGCCCTGAAGAGAGAAGGTGCTCTGCAAACCTTTTTTGGAATTAATTAATGAATTAGCCAATGTTATCTTGAATTCTCTCACCTGGATTAAATAAAATCCAGTGAATAGGCCTAACAAATGCCATTTTATAAGAAATGACTAATCACGTACAGTGCTATATATAAACATTATTTGATTGAAAAACTATGCTGGATTTGATTTAATTTCAACTTTTTTTTCGTGTATGTCTATTTCTTATGTTCTTTACAAATATTCATATTATTTTCCAAGTTTTAACGTGAACTTAATCAGCCAACCTATTAGACCTATTTGAGAACTTGCCAAATTGTCAGCATAAAGCAAAGCAAGATTGACCAGTTATCAGCTAATCATTCTACCACTCTACACCCTACCCTGTTCTCTACCACTCTACCCTGTTCTCTACACCTACCCTGTTCTCTACCACCCTACCCTGTTCACCATCACCCTACCCTGTTCTCTACCATCCTACCCTGTTCTCTACCACCCTACCCTGTTCACTATCACCCTACCCTGTTCTCTACCATCCTACCCTGTTCTCTACCATCCTACCCTGTTCTCTACCACCCTACCCTGTGCTCTACCACCCTACCCTGTGCTCTACGACCCTACCCTGTTCTTTAACACCGTACCCTGTTCTCTACACCATACCCTGTTCTCTACCACCCTACCCTGTTCTCTACACCCTACCCTGTTCTTTACACCCTACCCTGTTCTCTACCACCCTACCCTGTTCTCTACGACCCTTACTAGAAGCTATCTCATGACACTTTTCATATGTCATGACCGTACTCTTAAAATTTACATACCCAACATTTCCCAAAGAGCAAGCACTGGGTCGACAGTGCCAAGAAAAAAACTCCCCTTTAATCGGTAGAACCCTTGAGTAGAACCAAGTTCTGGGTGGGCGGCCATCTGCTTCGAACGGCTGGGATGAGAGAGAGATACATAGCAACATAACAATAACTAGAAAAATAATAGAAATATGACTAATAATAATAACAGGAGCAGTGGGTAATAAGCAGAACCCCAGCAACAATTGCTGCCACGATCAAGGATCCATGCGCAGCCATTACGCATGGCAACCAGTGAGACAAGACAGCACAATGATGTCCCAAGTGAGTAACATGCATTAATGAATAAAAGGGAGAGGAGGAGAGATAGCAGCATATCTAGGGTCTGGTCCAAGGCAAGTCTGAGCCAGCCCTAACTATTAATGTGAGCCAGCCCTAACATTAAGAGTTGTCAAAGAGGAAAATCTCACTCCTAAATGGGGTGAGTGTGTCTGCCACCTGGACTGAAACTAGGAGTTGGTTACACAGGAGAGGTGCTTGATAGCTGAAGGCTCTGGCTCCCATCCTACCTTTGGAGACTCTAGGAACCACAAGTAACCCTGCATTCTGTGAGCGTATCCATTTAAGATATGGCAGTGCCTGATCAATTATGGCTCTGTAAGCGAGGAAAAGGTTTTAAAATTATATTCTAGATTTTAAAGGGAGCCAGTGAAAAAATGGTAATACAGGAGTTTAATGATATTTTTTCCTAGTTTTTGTCAGTACACGTCTTAACAAACTTATTGGAGCAGCCTGATAAAAAGGAATTACTTTAGTAACAAAGTACCAAATGCGTGAACTAATTTTTCTGCATCGCTTTGAGACAGGATGTGCCTGATTTTGCAATGTTACGTAGGCAGTTCCTAGGAATTGAAATTTGTTTTATCTGTGAGTTAAAGGACTTATACTGATCAAAGATAACTACGAGATTCTTTACGGTAGTGCTGGATACCAGGGCAATGCCAACTAGAGAAACTATGCCAACTAGAGAAACTATATCATTAGATAATTCATTTCGGAGGTGTTCTGGGCCTAGTGAGCTTAACATAGGAAGTAGCAGTTCATCCAGGTTTTTATGTCTTCAAGGCATGCTTGACGTTTACAGAACAGGTTAGTTTTGTATGGCTTGATTGATAGTTATAATTAGGTATCATCTGCATAACAATTAAGTTAATGTATTATTTTCTGACAATATTGCCAGAAGGAAGCATAGATAAGGTTCCTTTAATACCAATCAAATATTCAAGTCTCTGTAATATGATGTGACTACCAATGGTGTCGAACGCATCACTAAGATCTAACAAGACAAGTACAGAGTCCTTTGTCTGGTGCAATTAGAAGGTCATTATAGTCATTTTCACCAGCACTGTCTCTGTGCTATGATGCTTTCTAAATCCTGACTGAAAATCCTCAAATAAACTATTGTTTTGTGGAAAGTCACACAACTGATATAGGTCTATTAGCCAAAACCTCTGAATTAAGAGTGGCCTATAAGAGTTTTGATTACAGCTACCTATTAACAAGGACAAATTGATCATTTCTAGTAAAGAGGTGCAAACTTTATTAAGCAGCCTAGCTGGGATGAGGTCTAGAGACAGGTTGATGGCTTAGATGAAGAAATCCTGTGCTGTCTGCCTCCCTGCCAAACAGACACAAACACAAACCATTATGCTCCTCACTTACATAAAACAACCATTTGCATCTCCAACATGTTCCTGAGCTACACGAAAAACATGACTATATGCTTATACTTCCTGACACTGCTGTATTGAGCTTACCCACCATTACATTACATTAGTCATTTAGCAGACGCTTTTATCCAAAGCGACTTACAATAAGTGTATTCAACATCGGTTTTCGAGAGAACTAGTCACCAGAAGTCTCCTTTCTTCAAACAAGCATCTAAGAGCATAAACCAGAGCCAACGTACAAGTAGTGAGTTGCAGTAGTCCAGGCGGGAGATGACAAGAGCCTGGATTAGCACCTGCGCCATCTCATCAGTGAGGAAGGGCCGAATCCTCCTGATGTTGTAGAGCAGGAATCTGCAGGAGTGTGTAACCGATTCAATGTTTGCTGAGAATGACAGTTGGTCATCCAGGGTCACACCCAGATTCCTCGCAGTCCGAGTTAGCGTCACCACGGTATCATCAATGGTGATGGACAGGTCTCGGTGCGGGCAACACTTCCCCGGGAGGAACAGTAGCTCGGTTTTGTCCAGGTTGAGCTTGAGGTGGTGTGTCGTCATCCACTTCGAGATGTCAGCCAAGCACGCAGCGATGCGTGCCTCCACTTGAGTGTCACCGGGGGGAAATGACAAGACCAGCTGGGTGTCATCGGCTTAACAATGGTAAGAGAAGTCATGCGAGCTAATAACAGAACCCAGAGATGTTGTGTAGAGCGAGAAGTGAAGGGGGCCCAGGACTGAGCCTTGTGGAACCGCTGTAGTCAGCATGCGTGGTTCCGATACGCCCCCCCTCCATGTCACCTGGTAGGATCGACCTGTCGGGTAGGATGCAAACAGGGAGAGTGCAGAGCCTGAGACGCCCATCCCCTCGAGGGTGGAGAGGAGGATCTGGTGGTTCACAGTGTCAAATGCCGCAGACAGGTCCAGGAGAATCAGGACAGAGGAGAGAGAGTTAACTGTGTGAAGCGACTCCGTCACCGCAAGGAGGGCTGTCTCAGTCGAGTGACCCACTTTGAACCCGGACTGGTTGGGGTCCAAGAGGTTGTTTTGGTGGAGAAAGGAAGACAGTTGAGTAAAGACAGCACGTTCAAGTGTTTTGGAAAGAAAGGGTAGAAGAGAAACCGGTCTGAAGTTCTTGACATCAGAGGGGTCAAGTGATGGTTTTGTCAGAAGGGGGGTGACTCCGGCAGTCTTGAAAGCTGTGGGAAAGCATCCTGAAATGAGGGATTTGTTGATGAGGTGGATGAGGAAAGGAAGGAGTTCAATCACAATAGACTGAAAAAGAGGGGAGGGGATCGGGTCAAGGGAGCACGTGGTGGGGCGGTTAGATGTAACAAGGTTGAGGACCTCGTTAGGGGAGAGGGGAGCAAGATAGGGTAAGATGGGGCATGGAGAGGGGAGGGAGAGCTGTGGGGGAAGAGCTGAAGAGGGTAGAGCTGGAGATGGTGGACAGGGACACTGAGAGAGTGAGGGAGAGGATGGACAGGGACCGGGGGGCTGAGAGAAGGAGCACCTGATATCGTTTACCTTATTGTCAAAGAAGTTGGCGAAATCATCAGGGAGAAGGGAGGAAGTAGGAGGAGGGGGTGGGGGTTGGAGGAGTGAAGAGAAAGTTCCGAAGAGTTTTTTACGATTGGAAGCAGAGGTTAGGATTTTGGAGCGGAAGAAAGCAGCTTTAGCAGTAGAAAGAGCGGTGGAAAAAGTGGAAAGAAGAGCTTGGAAGTTAAGAAGGTCCCCCGGGAGTTTGCCTTTTCTCCATTTTCGCTCAGCCTCTCTTAGGCCGACAGCCATGGGGCAGGTGGGGTTGGCCGTGCAGGCCTGGAGGTGAAGGGACAGAGGCTGTCCAAAGAAGAGGAAAGGGTGGAGAGGAGAAGGTCAGTAGCAGTATTGGGATAGGAGAGAGAAGGATTCGGGGTCAGTTAGAGCAGAGGTAACAGAAGAGGAAAGATCAGCCGGGGAGAGGGATCGAAGATGACTACGGGTAGAAACCATGTGAGTAGGTGGAGGAAGTATGGGGGGAGAGGAGAGGGAGAGGGAGTAAGACATGAAATAGTGGTCAGAGAGCCGGAGGGGAGTGACAGAGAGGTTAGCAGTATAACAGTGTCTAGTGAAGATGAGATCCAGCTAGTTGCCGGCCTTGTGGGTACGAGGAGAAGAGGAGTGGTAAAGGTCAAAGGAGGAGAGGAAGGAAAGAAGAGGTTCTAACTTAACAGTCTGGATGTTAAAGTCGCCCAGCAGGATGAGTGCTGAGCCATCGTCATGGAAGTGCGAGACTAATGTGTCGAGATCTTCCAAGAACTCACCAAGAGGCCCTGGTGGGCGATACACAACAGCAATGGTGAGC